AATAAAATTTCACTCTGTAAAATGTTAACAGAAGTCCTAGTAAAGTTTCTGACCCGCACAAATCAAGTGTTTCACTTGCTTTCACTTTTTGGCTCTTCAGCTGTTTTCGCTTCCTGCGCCCCTCCTGCAAAAAAAGAAATTTTTAACAGTACAATTAAGAGCAGCAAAAAGTACACAACCAACTGTTTCTTCAAATCGAGTCAGTAAATATAATGACTTTCTCTTCTTTTCCAACCTAGGAGTCTAAAACTTGAAGGCTCATTATGAAACTAGAACTTTATCGTAACTATAAACCTTTTAAGAAAGAAATATAATTGAAAGGAAACCTTGATTTTTTTCAGCCATTTTCTTATATGCAGCTTCAAACAACTTCAAAGACTGTTGTTGCAAAGAACTAATAGCTTCCCTTAAAGTTGCCACCGTTTCAGTATCCTTCTTCGCCAACAGTGCCTTAACCTCCTCAATCTTCTTGCGAAGGGCAGCAGCCTTAAATCATTCTCAATGAAAAATTTAATAACAGACCAACTGTCGGCACTCGTTTTCATAATGCTATGATATACCTCTTCAGATGGAAGCTGGTCTTGGAACTCCGTCATCTTCGAGTCTGTGTCATGTATGATACTCTCGGCTTGGTTGACGACTTCAACCTTTTCCTTCCTTTCAGCATCAGCAGCAGCATGCTTCTCAGCCTCCTTTACCATGTTCTCGATCTGGTCCTTAGAAAGACCACCAGAAGACCGAATGACAACTAAACACAGCGATTCCCAACAAAAGTTACTTAATACAAACGAGAGCAAGAACTCAAAAAAAATTGAAGAAGCTTATAGACAACAACTACGGGCAAAATCAAACTTTGCTGCTCTTTTCCTGTGCCTCGGTCACGTGCACTGACGTTTACAATACCGTTTGCATCAATATCAAATGTAACTTCAATCTGAGGAACACCACGCGGTGCTGGAGGAATACCAACCTGAAACGAGAAAAATTAAAACTTCTAAAAAATTAGAGTCAAAAAATCCTTCAACAAAACTAAAGAATACCAGAGAAAATTGTCCTAGAAGCTTATTGTTGGCTGCCATTTCACGCTCACCCTGATAGACTTTAATCTCCACTTGTGTCTGACCATCTGCAGCTGTTGAGAATACCTAAAACGCACACTTATTAACAAAAACTTCAAAGCAAGTTAAATGCAAGACTTTTCCACTATAAACTCCAGCACGAAATGCACCTATACCTGACTCTTCTTGGTGGGAATCGTAGTATTCCGCGTAATCAACTTCGTCATAACACCACCCAAAGTTTCGATCCCAAGCGAAAGAGGTGTGACATCAAGAAGAAGAACGTCAGTAACGTCTCCTGCGAGTACCGCACCTTGAATAGCAGCACCAATAGCAACAGCTTCGTCAGGATTAACTGCTTTTGAGGGCTGTTTTCCAAAAGTTTCTTGGACAGTTTGTTGTACCTAAAAAGACAGTGCAAAAGCTAGTCAAAAAGCCTTCAATAAAAGTCAAAACTTTCTGTCGCAAAGAAGCTCACCTTCGGCATGCGCGTCATTCCACCAACAAGAAGAATTTCACCTATTTCTGAAGGCTTCACTTCAGCATCGTGCATTGCTTTACGACAAGGTTCAATTGTTCGCTTAATAAGATCAGCTACCAGCTGTTCAAACTTCGCCCGGGTCAATTTCACATTCAAGTGTTTCGGACCAGAAGCATCCATTGTAATGTAAGGTAAATTTATATCTGTCTGGGAAGTTGAGGAAAGTTCGCATTTGGCTTTTTCCGCAGCTTCTCGCAACCTCTGCATTGCCATAGGATCCTCAAATCAATGAAAATAGTAAGTAACTCATCATCTTCAACTGAACAAACAAATAAATAAAACATATAAAATGGCTCAGGATCGCTTAAATCTTCATCGAAAGTTCACTTCTATACTTTCGCAGATAAGATCAAAGTATTTTAGTCATCATCGCCAAACTAATTTCTTCGAGAACTCATTTCAAAAAACCAACTTTTTTTAGGTCAATGCCTGACTCCTTGCGAAACTCAGTAACTAAATGATTGACAAGCGTGTTATCGAAATCTTCTCCGCCCAAAAAAGTATCGCCATTAGTCGACTTTACTTCAAACACACCCTTCTGGATCTCCAAAATTGAGATATCAAAAGTCCCACCACCAAGATCGTATACAGCAATTACTTTATCTTCTGCTTTATCCATACCATAGGACAGAGCGGCAGCAGTTGGTTCATTAATAACTCGAAGGACATTAAGTCCTGCAATCTGGCCGGCATCTTTTGTGGCCTAAACAGTTCAATGACCAACAAAAATGAGAATAACTAAAAGGAAATGAAAACATTAGAAACTGAATTTAAAAATTTATAGGCCAACAAAGAAATGAAATGTCTCAGGAAACAACTACCACACGTCACAGAGAATCCCATTAATTTAGAAGTTACCTGCCGCTGTGAGTCATTGAAGTAAGCTGGGACAGTGATAACAGCATTATGCACAGTTGTACCCAAGTAACTTTCCGCAGTTTCTTTCATCTTCATTAAAACAAAAGCACCAATCTGAAAAAAAAAAAAAAGTTCTAAGTGAAGCCGTAAAAAACTGCCAAACTTCTCCTTCACTGAAGAAATAAATGTTTTTTTTTTTTTCAGAAAGAGTAGTCTAAAACAAAATTATAAATTAATACTCTTCAAAAAATACATAAAAGACTAAAGAACACCAAATATAGTAGTTCACTTCTAAAAACTGAAAAAGTTTTGAATAATTTCTACCCTCTAAATAACAGTTGCAAGAACTGAAAGTCCACTAATATCCACAGCACAGACCTCACCACCAATTAATTCCCTACAAAACACGCTTCCTTTTTCTTCTTATCTCAAAAAATTTCCGCAAGAAGTATAAACCTACTTCATAAATCAACTTTGAATGAAACTTACAATAATCCTAAATTCTCAACAGAAGCAACTTGACGTTAAAATACTTCACCTGTGATGGCGAATACATTTTGCCCTGCGCTTCCACCCACGCATCACCATTGGAGGCTTTAACAATTTTAAATGGAACCACCTTCCTGCAATCGGTTACTATTAACTGAGAAATAAACTCCAAAAATGAAGAAAACAGAAATCCCATCAACTATAATGAAGAGAAAGTGTGCACTTACAAGTCTTTCTGTACATCAGCATCATCGAATCGTCGACCAATTAAACGTTTCGTTGCATAGAGGGTGTTCTGGGAATTCGTAACAGCCTGCCGTTTAGCTGGAGCACCAACAAGCCTTTCACCATCCTTTGTAAAGGCAACAGTTGAGGGTGTTGTTCTGATACCTTCCGAGTTTTCAATGACCTAAAATATGCCAAATTATACGTATCGTAAGTGCGGCTGTATAGAATAAAAATAATCTTCATAAATTAAAATATCTCCTGCAACGTAAAAAGAGCAGCCTAAAACTATACTGCATATCTGCACATCAAATTTAAATATTAAACACCTACTTAAATGAAATAACAAAAAATGTCTTGAATTTAAAAAAAAGTTGGCTGACATCCAAAAAACTTTGAGCCTAGAAACCGCATTTACCCGCTACTTTTCAGCCTTCAAATGCCTGTACTTGGTCTCACCATCGCAGTTCATTTCAATTACTTCGATGTTTACTTTCCTCTAGATTTCTCATTTAAATGCCAGCGTATTCTCAACATTACCTTCCTAATCAGCTAAAAATACACACAAAAATCCTTACTTCCTACTAAAATAATCAATCCCTAAAGTTCTGACAAGCTCATTCCTTACTACATTTCACCAACTATAGAGAAATTAAATTTATCTCCTATATTTAAAGCAAATAAACAACCTGTACACGTCCTTTCTAAAGACTTTCAAAGCACTACTATATCAAGGCTTTACAACAACTGAGACAGCACTGTGATACTAAGGTCTAAAAAAATATCTGGGGGAAATAAAAACCAAACGCTCAGAAATTGAAGACTTTTCTTAAAATACCTAAAGCGCATCGAACTGAGGTGTAAAAATTGCAAATTCACAAAATCCGAACTGTGACTTTCGAACTTAAACAAAGAACCTAATTTTTTCCATATAAATGGAACACAGTAAAAGGGAAAAAATCGAGGTGGCCCACTGCATTCGCGATAAAAAACAGCTTAACTATCAAGACCTTCCGGAAAAAGCAAATAACTGAAAAATATATGCTTTGGAAACTCTGAATTAACGTAAAAATTACTAAAAGCTTTGTAAATAGTACCTTAGCTTGTTTTCCTTCCATAACAGCCACACAAGAATTTGTTGTTCCAAGATCAATTCCAATGACAGCCCCACGCACTGCTTCTGACCTGAAAACTAAAGTTTTTACTAAAGATGGAAGTTAAGTTTGAAAGGTTGCTTGTAAAAAAGAAACAGTGCAAACACTAAAAACCTAAGCTAAAACACACCTGGCAACAACCTTCAGATATAGAAACTTTGAAGAAAAAAATTTCTAATAGCAGAGAATTAATAAAAATGAGTCATATTTCTGTTGACTTTATTTGGACTTTGCAGCTCGTTTAGGTTTTTAACACTAGCTAAGCTTGCTGCATCAAGTAAGGAATAGCAGCTGCTGAATATCTCTTACGGAAGACCTACGCACCAAAAACAAACAAAAAAAGCAATTAAACAATCATTCACTCACTTCCAACGTCTCGTAACATTACTCAGAAGTGTGCCCACTTGCTTTCCATAAACTGCTCTCCCGCAAACGCTAAACGATCGAAGCATTGGAATGATCATTATGACACCAAAACTCGACGACCAATGCTTTACCTACAAAAATGATATGAAGAACTGCTGCGAGCACTTTAGAACTAACCATTACGTTGCAGAAAGTAACTAATTTAGCAGAAAAAACAAACCAGAAGAAACAAAACATCATGTTATTATATCAATGGAACAGCAACCAGTAAACCAAAACTATCTGTTTCTTAAAATACTGAAGACTAAAAACTGTAGTTCCTGGTAAATTTAAACGTTGCAAAGTAAAATTTCAAATGGTTACAAGTAAAGATAACGTACAAGCTTAAAAAAGTAGAAACAAGACTCTACCACCTTACATACAAATCTAATAACAAGTACACATTTTTTCCTTTATTCCTTTACTCCCACCAAGATTTTTTGCTTTTGAACCTACCATTTTCAACCCGCATTTTAAGCTACTCCAAATTCCCCGTCAATCGCTGCAAACTCTCTAACACAAATATTTCTATTAATTATTATCACCTTCGGCCAGTAATAATGCGCTCTACTGTCTTTACGCTTCAGAAAATTGAGAACAAATGAATCCTAAAGGCAGTAATATTCATCTGGCACAGATACCCTACCACTGAATATAACTCACCACAACATTAATAATACAACAGTGAATATAATACGTTAAACCGAAGATGCTTGGCCAAAAAACTTTTGAAATGGAAGAAAAAATTAAACATAAATTCAATACCTCCCCTTCCTTCATCCTACAAAAAAATAAAAAATTTTCATTGAAAAACAAGATTATTACGAGCTTTAAAACTAGGAATACTCCATCTTTCAACTCCAAAAGAGGGCTGTAAAAAAATACTGATTGCATCATTTTGTTTTAGAATGCTATATTATGAAATATTACTAATTATCTTCCAAACGTAACTGTTTCGGAATATAGCACCATACTGCGGGGAAACAGTGGAACATTCTTGGTTTCAAATCTCTCCAAAAACACAATTTAACCTAACGTTTATGCCTTCATAAACTAGTACTCAATGACTGAACAATGGCCTAAATTTGGTACAACTATTACAGCCAAAACAGTCAGCACATAAAACTAGTACAACTGATAACTGAATACTTGCAAGAAAAAAAAAAACTCCAAAAAGTCCCTTGAACAAAATCAACTGAATGCGATAAAAAAAAGCATTCATTAACTGCGAGGGGACTACTTTCCACTTCGTACTGGTCACAAAAAAGAAAAAAATTGCTATGAGCCGTTCTAAAACTCCATTAAAATTTTTGAAACTTACAGGTATCAGCATAACAGGCCTGAAATCGTAATTAACTTAATATTGCTCAACTTTGACTCTGTATCTTTCCAATCTGATCAAGTGATCAACAAACCATAATAAATTCAAGCTAAAAAAGAAAAATAAATGCATTTCGAAATTGTCGAAACCGTTGAAGATATCCATTAACTATAAGTTAGATTGCAAACGTTGGATCATTTGATATATGGCAAACCTACTGTAAAAAAAACGAGTAGAAAAACGATCCCTTGAATCAGGATGCCTGCTAACATCTAGCCTAAGTTGTGCGATTTCCCGTAGCCCTAACGGTAGAACCTACGTGTAGGATAGAATGACGATTCAGTGAAAAAAATCGTGTATTGCATCAGCTGCTAACTTCTAACTGGAAATTTCTAGTATATTTTTTGAAAATATTACGAATAGCCTGAATACTGTATCTGTTTTAGTTTTTCCCTTTGATGATTCTTGCCTGCTGTTACAGCTAAAAATCATCTACATACATTTGCATAGCAGAAGTTTTTGTGCTTAAAATTCCGGCGGCTTATCTTTCAGTACTACTATTACTGGGATGATGGTAAGTTATTAATTGCGCTGTTTAGGTGCATAACTGTTAGAATAATAGGGA